GCCCCTCCATGAACACTCGTGCTTGTGTCCCCTTGACCATGACTTAGAAAACTGGAAATGCTTTTCTTAGAAGGACATTATAAGAACAAGGAAAGTTAAGCTTTTTTTTTTTTTCAAAAATACAAGGAAAATTGGGCAAGGGAACCATGGGGACAGATGATGGTGTCTTCAATTGCAGGAGTGCAGAATGGGGAGAACAAAGGAAATGAAACTGGTCAGAGAGGCAGAGTGAGATCATCACGCTTAGCCTTCGAGGGGAAGCACAGGATTCCAATTCTTGTCTTACAAGAAATGGAAAGCTATTAAACAGCTTTAGCACAGGAGGTTCTGGGCCATTTTTCCCACTTTAAAAAGATCATAGTGGCATCGGCGTGTAGAATAAAATGGGTCACGCTGGGTTATGCATGGGCAGGTTGCTTTGGAAAATATCGTCATCCAGACAAGACAGGTGATGGTTTGAGTGCAGATGGTGGTGAAGAAATGAAGTGAATGCATGGGGGCAGCTCTCCTTTTAGGAACTGAGGGAAAGCAGCTTCATTAATACTAATGTTTTAAAAAGACAAAGAAGCTGGGAAGCCATCTCTCTCACCCTTGTCCATGCAGGGGAGTGGATTCAGCCCCCGCTGGCCTTGTCCTACTGCTTTTCGCATTTTCTTTCTGCACCCGAGTGCCCATCGCTCCTCATTTCCCCTGCACAGAGCTGTTCTGGTTCTCCACCGTGCAATGCTGGGCTTACGCAACTCAAGAAAGGGTGCAGCCTCCACAAGTCCCAGATGTAATGAGTGGGCAACCCCAGTGGCTGGCAGAAGCGAAGCAAGGAAGCGGGGATGTGTTTGGAGACGGACTGGCTCCAAGCGAGACAAAAGCCCATGGTATAATTATGCCAAGTGTATAATATGATGCAGTCGGTTGCTGTCTCCAATATGCCCTGTAGTGCTGCATGAGGCCTTTGAATAGCAGACTGCTCCGAGCTGGAGTCTCCGTGCCCTTAGACGCCTGAGAAAGCCACAGAACTTTCTCTTTCTCAGTCAGCTAGGCCATGGGTCTTTCTTGAACCAGTGTTCAAACTTGGGGACACAGAGAATAAGACAGGAACATATGATTTTTCTCAAACAGACCCCCTAGTTTCTGCCACTGCTCCCTAAGAACAAAAGACATACACAGATATTTCTTTCATTTGTTTCAAATGAGCTTCCAGGAGTGAAGGCCTCTTGACTGGCAACCTCAATTATTAGGTTCCTACAAAGTTCCTTTGACGTTGTATTTAAAGTATGGTGGTCATGTCCTTGGCCTTGAAAGACAAATGCTGCCCAGGAATTCACAAGAGAGATGGTTCACTCACATGGATCTCTAACAATACTGGCTCACGAAAATGCTTATGCTCCCCACTACCCCCTCACCCCTTTTTAAATTTATTTATTTTATTTGAGGGGCAGAGAGGTAGAGCTTCCCTCCACTGGTTCACTCCCCAGAGACTGGGAGCCAGGAATTCAGCCCAGGTCTCCCTACGGGTGGCAGGAGTCCAACCACTCCGCTCATCACTGCTGTCTCCCGGGGTCTGCATTAGCAGCAGGCAGGAGTTAGGAGCCAATTATCAAACTCAGGTGCTCTGATATGGAACAGGGGTGTCTTAGCTGCTAAACCGATGGCCACTCACTACTTATACCCACTCATTTAGCCTCTGGTTTCCAGGCCAGTGTGTGCCCAATGCGGGACCAAGCACTTTACATGTGTTTCCTAATGTTAAGTGTTAGCACACTTGCTCCCTACCCTATGCAGGTAGCAGTACCATCTCCCTTTTATGGATGGCGAAACATTGATTACGACCAGTGAGTGGGGGAACCAGGATATGAACACAAGTTTGTCTAATACTCTACTCTTTTTGTTGACCAATCATTGATCGATTTTCTATTAATTATGAAGTCTATAATATCTATCTCATTCTAATGACCTTGATGGTCTCAAGTTCAGCAATTTTGCCCCATCAAAAATGTGGAAAAATCATATATATATATATATATATATATATATATATATATATCAGGGTTTGGCAAACCAAAGGCTTTTGGAACATAAAGGTTTAGGGGCCAATGCTGTGGCTCCGGCATCCTGCATGGGCATCGGTTTGACTCCTGGTTGATCCTCTTCCAATCCAGCTCTCTGCTTACCGCCTGGGAAGGCACTGGAAGATGGCCCAAGTGCTTGGGCCCCTGCACCTATGTGAGAGACCCAGAGGAAGCTCCTGGATCCTGGCTTCAGATCTGCTTGGCTCTGGCCATTGTAGGCATTTGGGGAGTGAACCAGCAGATGGAAGACCTCTCTCTCTCTCTGTCTCTCCCTTTCTCTATAACTCTGCTTCTCAAATAAATAAATAAATCTTTTAAAAAAGAAAGTTTTATTGGAACCCTGCCACACTCATTTATTTACATATTGTCTCAGGCTGCTTTTGTGCTCTGTGGGCAGGGTTGAGTAGCTATAATAAAGACCATGGGGCCCACAAAGCTGAAAATATTGACTGACTCTGCACAGAAAAAGTGTGCCAATCCCTTACACAGAGCACAGTCAAATGTATTGTCTCTTTAGTGAATTGCTTTCTATTGAATAGATTGGTAATATCCAATGACAGGGATGGTTTAACTGTAAAATATATGTGTAGGGGTTGGCATTGTGACGCAGTGGATTAAGCCATCACCTGTGATCCAGGCATCTCATGTGAACACACATTGGAGTCCCAGCTGCTCCACTACTGTCCCAGATCCCTGCTAATGTGTCTGGGAAAGCAGCAAGAGATAGCCCAAGTTCTTGGACCCTTGCCACCCACATGGAAGACTGAGATGGAGTTCCAGGCTCCTGGTTTTGGCCTGGCCCAGCCCTGGCCATTGTGACCATTTAGGGAATGAACCAGCAGATGGAAGATCTCTCTCTCCCTCCCTCCCCCCCTTCCTCTCTCTCTAACTCTGCCTTTTAAACAAAAGAAACAATCAAAAAGTCACTGTAACCTTTCAAATAAATCAATAAATCGTTTAAAAATAAAATACTTGTGTAGATATTACTGGTTCAATTCAAGAATTTTTTTCTCAGATGTCAAAAAACAAGGCCAGCAGAGCACTCGTGGGTGATTTCTGCAGAGAAGAAAATACACCACTCCCAGCTGAGACATGTGATGTGGAACTTCTGAGTCTTTTGAAAGGCACTCCCGGGCTTATTCTGCCTCTGGAGTTGTATGCAATTCTTAGAGCACACCTGCTCCTACCCAGGCCTCATTCAAACTTGGTTGTCTCTGACGAGTCAGGTACTGCCCTTCTGGAAAAAAAATAATTAAAAATAAAAAGCATATATTACAAAGGCTCACAACACACTTTCATCATCTCCAACAGTTTAAAGAACTATCCGAAACCTTGTCATTCTAGAATACAGAAAACCAGTGTGAGCTCTCTGATTCCAGCTTTATCTTCATCTGTGTGCTTACACAACCCACAGATAAATTATAAGTTACTGCAGACTCCCACCAATGACAAACTGACTCACTGTCCTAAGTTCTTTCATCTTTCTGGATTCCCTTCTAAGGCTCTTTATACTCCGTCAAGACCAAGTGTGCTATTTGCCAAAATTACAGACGGCATGCCAGCATTTGGACACATTTTCCATTTTACCTGTATAGAGACATATTACCACGGCTGAAGCTTTTTCCACCATCAGTTTTTGTCCCTATAGAAAGCAGCTCGTAGCCAGCTTTGTGAAATATTTTTTTCTCTGCTCCTGGGCAGCCACAGACATAGAATGAAAGGGTAAAGTGATTTTGTTTGTTACAGTATAACAAACCATTATCCTAGAAACCCCAAGCTGTTGTAGAATGATTTTTGTTAATGTTTTGTTTTAGCTGCTTCCTTGCCAAGTGTGTGCTTGATCTGGGCACCAAAACCACTATTGCAGGACACGATTTCAAAGAACAGCAATGTCACATTTCTCTTGCTTGGCTGATATCTCAAGAATCTTCTGCCCGAAGCCATCCTAGAACATACGTTATTCATTCGTTGTGAACTGATGAAAAGAAATGGTAAGAAATAAAAGGGGACAAGGCTCTGTTTTCATACAATCAAATGGTATCTAAGCGAAAGCAATCGTGTGCTATGCATTAAGATGCTCTGGAAATCACTGGCTTTGAAAGCTACAGTGCTAAATCACCTGTGTTCAGATCTCTGTTTGTTGATGTCAACAACAAAGAGGTTTACATTTGCTATTAAGAGATCCTCACTGACCAGACAATCGGCCTAGTGAGTAAGGCTCCCGTGTTCCACAAGAGAGTGTGTGGGTTCTACTTCTGGCTCTGGGTCCTGACTCCAGTGTCCTGCTTATGTGTGCCTTGGAAGGTAAAGGTTCAAGTAGTTGGGTCTCTGCCATTCAAGTGGGAAATCTAGATTGATTGCCCAACTCTGGGTCGCATGCTCAGCCCAGTCCTGGCCATTGTGGGCATTTGTAGAGTCAACCAGTGAATGGCAACTCTGACTGTTCCTCTCTCTCTGGTTCTTTGCCTCTCAAATAAAAAAATAAAATAAAATAAAATAAAATAAAATAAAATAAAAATGAGCTCAGTATGGATGACACCGAACACAACTCTGATGATTTGGGACTTTTGATACAAGAGGAAGTGTGGTCATATGGCAGGATTTTGCTAGTCAAGTCAGCACCGCGATGATACATGGAAGTGGTTTATAATATTCCATCCCTGTGGAGGGAAAACATCAGAGTGTGAGTAACTCACTTGAAAACAGAAAGCTGGATCACCAGCAGCCTAAAATAATAATACTTAGCACCTATGTAATGTCTTCACGGGTTTCTGCATATAAAAATTAGTTAATTAGCAATTATTACCATATGCCAGGTAAGCACAGATTATTATTATCATAATTTTACACACTGAGTAAACGAGAGTGAAGGAGAAGGTGCCAGGAGAAAAATTAAAATTAATGAGTTCCTAAATCACAGGCTTGAGCTGCAAGGACTTTAAAGAGCTTATTTATTTTATATGCCACAAAGTGACATCTAAGTATTGGAAAAGCAGACTTTCCAATTAGAAATTTCCTATTTATTAATGAATCAGTGCTGGGATTCTGGTGCATATCATCAATTCTTTTTATGATGTAAACCTTCCCCTGAATCTGTGATGACTGACTTGTATTTTTTTTTTAAAGATTTTATTTATTCGAGAGGTAGAGTTACAGACAGTGAGAGGGAGAGACAGAAAGAGAGGTCTTCCATCCTCTGTTTCACTCCCCAAATGGCTGCAACAGCTGTAGCTGAGCAGATCCGAAGCCAGGAAGCAGGAGCTTCTTTCAGGTCTCCCACGCAGGTGCAGGGGCCCAAGGACTTGGGCCATCTTTTGCTGCTTTCCCAGGCCATAGCAGAGAGCTGGATCAGAAGTGGAGCAGCCGGGACTCGAACCGGCGCCCATATGGAATGCTGGTGCCACAGACAGAAGATTAACCTACTGTGCCACAGCGCTGGCCCCATTTTATTATTTTTAATAGAAGAATCCATGCAATCGTAGGTTTTATTCTTTAATCTCATTTCTTGATCTTTTCAGCTTCAGAACACCCAAGTGCCATTGAGGTTTTAGAAACCTGGAAAAGACATTTGAGCCAGTGAGTATTCAGATGAATGGCAAAACCCACACGACATATTTACTGAATGTCCCCTGGAAGCCACAGTCCAGCCCCAGAGATGCAGAGCGAACCCACATGACAGAAGCCTGTCCCACTCCGCTGTAGGACCTGTGACTCAGCCAAAGGAAGAGGCTCAGTGTTTGCATAAGGGTCATTGTGGATGCATTTTGAATTTGAGTGTCTTGTAATTAAATGTTCTTATTGAAAAGAACTTTACGCTGACTTACTATGTGGGTTTTCCCCTACACAGATGATTGCTCAAGTCTGGGTATAACTGATTGTGGTTAGGGAGCTGATAGGCATTTGTGAAACTCAGTCTAAGGTAACAGTTATGCATATATTTCACAGATAACTTTTTTTCCTCCTTTAGATTAGTGATGAATCTGTAATAAGATTTTGCCTTCTTGGCTTCTCTCTCTGATTCCCCAAAGAATCTGAATTATTTTTAAAGGTTTATTTATTTACTTGAAAGAGTGGCAGAGTGAGAGAGAGAGAGAGATCTTCCTTCTGCTGGTTCATTCCCCATATGGCCACTTTGGTCAGGGCTGAGACAGGCTGCAACATTGTAAGCAGTGGCTTAACCCACTGTGCCACAATGCTGGATCCTCCCCAATGGATTTTTTTTTTAAGATTTATTTATTTATTTGAACAGAGAGGCAGAGGCAGAGAGAGAGAGAGAGAGGTCTTCCATCCTCTGGTTCACTCCCCAGATGGCTGCAACGGCCAGAGCTGCACCAATCTGAAGCCAGGAACCTGGAGCTTCCTCTGGGTCTCCCATGTGGGTGCAGGGGCCCAGGGACTTGGGCCATCTTCTACTGCTTTCCCAGTCCATAGCACAGAGAGCTGGATCAGAAGAGGAGCAGCCAGGACTCAAACCAGCGCCCATATAGGATGCCGGCATGCAGGCAGCAGCAGCTTTACCCACTACACTACAGCGCCAGCACCCCCAGTGGATCTTAACTTCATTTCTTGTGTGCTGGGCGAGTCTGTTCTCACTGTCTAGACTGGGAATGAGCAGGTGATCTAAGGTAGGCCTGAGCCATGCCTTGGGCATTTCTTGACACTGTTAGGAAAACGATGTTATGTGTTCCAGGATTGATAAGCTAGGGAGGTGCAAACATGGGCTGCAGGGGTGGCCTGGGTAACCATGTGGGAAGAGCTTGTTAGACAAAGAAGCTAATCCAGAGGAAGCAGAGAAGATTGCTAACGAGCACTTGTGAGCACCTGGATCCAGCTATGCCTGAAGCCACTGTCACTCTCTGGATTTTTTTCAGTGATTCAGGCTCAGGCTTATTCTTTTCTTTTTTAATCCCTGACTCACTTTCAGTTGGATTTCAGAAATTTGCAGGCTAAAAGAGTACTGATGCATTCCAATTCAGTAACCTTTAATGATATTACCTTTGGCACAAAGCAGAAAATAAGCCCTACATTAGTCAAATTTTGAAAACAAATAGGTTATATACAGATACTTGCATCTGTGTAGCATACCTTTTTACTTGTGACACAATCCTATCAATATTTTTGTGTTCTTATTAATAGTTGTATAGATATATAATTCACAAGTCATAAAAATCTGCCCTTTGAGTACAATTCAGTGTTTTAGTAGTATATTTTCCGAGTTATGTAACCGTCAACACAATTAATTTTAGAACATTTCTGTCACCTCAAAAAGAAACCCCTCACTCACGAGCACTCAGTCCCTCTTCTCCCTCCCCCCAGCTTCTAGCATTAGTGTAATTTCTGTCCTATTCCACATAAATAGAATTATACAATGTGTGGCATTTCTGAATGGTATTGTGTTCGCTATACTGTGTTTGGCTTGTACTCCATCAGTTCATGGAGGTTTGGGTTGGTCTAACTCTTTGACTGTCATGTAATAATGCTTCTATGAACATTCATGTGTAAGTGCTGGGGTGGGCAGATGTTTTCAGGTACCTTGAGTATATCTGTAGCAGTAGAATTACTGGGTTATACAGTCTCTCAGTGTGTACCTTTCTGAGAAACTGTCAAATTACCTTCCAAAGAAGGTGTGCCGTTTTGGAATTCCAAAAGCAATGCTTGAGAGTTTCAACTTGCCCACAACATTGTCAACACTTGCTACTGTGGCTTTCTGACTTTAGCCCTCCTACTGGATACAAAGCGACATCTCTATTAATATTCATGAAACGACTTTTCTGCATAAAGGACCACTTCTCACAAATTTCCTGCCCTATACTTAGGGCTCCTGTGGAGATCCAAGAGAAAGAAGTTGAGTGGAGAGTGCAGAAGAGCTCCATAAAGAACAACCAAGGTAGGGGCAATCATTTGGGCTTCTGTCTCCTTCCCCCACTTTCTGTCTCCATTGTGTTCTGCCCTGCAATGGCTGATTCTTGGCCCATGAAGTCAGCCCAGAAGCCAAGCCCCAAGGATGGAAGTACAAGAAGATGCTAACTACAATTTTTTTCTTTCTCTTTTTAACTTGAGGGAGAAGTAAATTTCTAGCTTCTTCATTCAATGGCTATTTAAATGTCCTGTGTTATCCAGTTAAACTTAAATCTTTTTCCCTTCTATGTGCGTATGCACAAATATACAAAAGGACTTCAAAAAGTTCCTGGAGATTGATGATGAAAGGTAAGTTTGGTGCAAAAATTTTTGAAATGCATGCATATGAGGGATCTTCAAGACATTCATGGAAATGCATAAAAACATTGTGCATGAATAAGCTATCTTTTAATCCCATTTTTCACAGACTTTTCAAGGTCCCCTAGTGTGTTTATAGACATACATGTTTGCACGCATGCACGTGCACACACACACACACACACACACACAGAGTTTCAGTACAAAGTCTGCCAAGCCACACCAGGTAGGGATCCAGTTGTTTATAAAGGAGTTGGTTGTCCAGAGTTCAGGATGGATTTTGTTCTAAACGAATATATAAATTCTGAAGAGGACATAGAAGCCTCTTTAACCCACCCTCTGATACACATACCTCATACTGGTAACACCAATCAAAGCTTAGGACCCTAGAAGCAAGGAATAACTACTTGCTCAACATTCACGAAGTCCCTGGTAAGTGTTACGCTTGTGGGATGGAATGCAGACGTGACCTTGTTTTCCATGAGGACGTGAAGAACGTGGCATGGAAACCAGATGTGGATCAAGTGTGCTCTCCACTGCCCCAAACCCTCCAACGCCACTCTGCAAACTCCTTCCTGTATACACCCTGCAACAAGGCCCTTTGTGCTTGGCTCTTTCCTATTTCTCTACCCTCATTTGGCTCTGGTCTATCCTTGTTCCTTTTGCCCCAAGTTCTAGTCTTATTTAGTGGAGCTCAAACAGACCAAATGCTTGCCTCCTTCTGGACCTTGGCCCTTCCTGTTGTTCTATCTGGAATCTTCTCCAAGCTGTTGCTGTTTGTTTTCATTCTTCAAGCAACAACACAATACACCCCTCGCCCCCAGACTGCCCTGTGTGAAATGGCCACCTTGAATTTCTCTCCAACACATCTGCTTGTGTTATGTTATTTAGGGCATTGTTTCTCAGATTTTAAGTGCACACAGGTTACTATGGGATCTTGTTAAAATGCAGATTCTTGTTCAGTAGGGCCAGGGTGGGGCCAAAGACTCTGAATGTCCAGCCAGTTCCCGGGTTATGTCCATACTCGGTCAGCGCTGGACCACACTTCGAGTGGCATGGCTTTAGAGAACTTACCACATTTCACAGTTACCTCACTTAGGATGTCTTTACTGAGACCTACCTCTGCCTACCCTGGCATCTTGTTCACCTGTATAACTCCAGGTTGAGAACAACTCTTTCCTAGCACACAGTATGTGCTAAATAAACAGTCATGGACTAAATTAAGACACTTTGTGTCATGATCAGGATGACACAAGGGCCTGGGCATGGGGCTGTGGGAGCTGATTGTATCTGGGGAAATAGGCAAGGATACCTGATTTGCAGTCCATAACTTTTGCACACATTTCCAAATCTTCCTATTCTTCCATCATCTAATAGCCCATCCTAACTTACCCAAGTTTGTTTTTTTTTTTTTTTTGCCAGGCAGAGTTAGAGAGAGAGAGACAGAGAGAGAGTTATAGACAGTGAGAGAGAAACAAGAGAGAAAGGTCTTCCTGCCGTTGGTTCACTCCCCTAATGGCCACTACGGCTGGCACTACACTGATCCAAAGCCAGGAGCTGAGTGCTTCCTCCCAGTCTCCCATGCGGGTACAGGGACCCAAGCACTTGGGCCATCCTCCACTGCCCTCCCCAGGCCACAGCAGAGAGCTGGACTGCAAGAGGAGCAACCGGGACTAGTATCTGGTGCCCCAACCGGGACTAGAACCCAGGGTGCCGGCGCTGCAGGTGGAGGATTAGCAAAGTGAGCCACGGCGCTGGCCTACCTAAGTCTTTACACATCCCCAGGATCAAAAGTTCACTTACTCTTTCCCTTACCCTCCAATGCATGGCTGAGCAAGGCTCTGAGGCTCCCAGAATGGCTGACACTGGACACGTTAAGAAGCCAGCAATGTCAGTGACTGTGACCTCGCTGGACTGGGTATGATCCCCTTGCTACCTTTCTGGCAGGACCTGCATTTGATAAAAGAGTTTAAAAAAAGTTAGTCTAACTGCATGGTGTTGTGACAGCAAGTGGACTACAAACAGTGAAGCCCAGGGAAGCCAATGGAGAAAGGAGCACCCACAAACACCTGGACTTTTTGCTTTCACTAGTACCAAACCCAGAATTACGTGGATACCAGGGGCTGCTGAAGACGGACACAGAGAAAGCAGAGGAGATCGGTGAAGGAGGTGTATGATTGGCTGCTTCATTTGCAAGGTGACGCCTCCTGAGTTAGGGGTTATGGAGGAGGGAGCATAATACTCACAAAGGTTGAGAGTGAAGGATCTGGAACTCTGCTGTGTACACCTCAGGCTCTTCATCTGTAAAATGGGCCTAACAACACACCTACTGTCCCATG